GAGAGAGAGAGAGAACTAACGCTCGAAATAAGGAACTTCAGTTAATTTGCAGAAAGTATTCGTAATTTGGTATCATTAAACTTTCATATGAGTTATTTTAAAGGCCAAGTGAGTCGAAGTCTAAAATATTATTGAATTGATTATCTAATGAAGAAAATTGATTTTAATAGAATCAAAAGATTTAATAGAATACAGATTTTTAATATAAAATTTTTAATATCGAAAGCACAAGGAAATCGAGTTAAAAATAAAACACTGCTATATACTTGAACAGTTTCTATTTCATTGTCAGATTGAAAAAACATCATTTTCAATCTTCTTGAGTATATTTTCCTCGTAAAAAATAGATGTGTGCAAACGCATTGGAAAGAAATGTTTTAACGCCCTACCTTCTCCATGTCCGTGACATAAATTCAAGTAAATCGAAAGTCCGAAGTCATGCAATTAGCAGTAAACATCTCGCGTCGCCTCGTAGCAGTAAGCTCCGCTTAAACACCAACGTTACCGGTGACTTTATCCGGTAATTAGTTAAGCTGCGACAAACCAATTACAGTGCTCTGTTGGGGAGGGAGGGTGGCATTGACTATCGTTTGGTCAATTCTGAAACGAAGAGTGCTCTGATACTGAAAAGATTTATTCATTTTGCTGTAATAATTTCATGAAAAATTAAAGCTTTTTCTAGAAGCTCAACGATTTGAAATAAATTTATGAAAAAAGCAATTACGTGATTGTCGAGAAGATTTTATTCAGTATTAAAATGCCTATTTTATACGTTGTGATCTTATACTGTTTGAAACTATGTAGGACGTACATTTATAGATGCAGCACTAAATATGATTTTTAGTTACATTGATTTTGATGTAATATCAAGATATATTGTATGTATATATTTAAGCTTATATTAAATATGTTTTTAAGTCAATATTAACTTGTTCGTAAATCAATTCCAAACTGTCTATATGTAGAAATAAGAAAACAGAATATGTTAATATTTTAAACGACAGAGTTTCTTTCATTTTTGCTATTTATCGAAAACACTAGTATAATAAATGATATGATCTAGTTTTATGTTTTCATTTATTTATGCATACATCTGGCTGCGCATATTTTCTCGTGTAGTACAGTGGGAAATATGTTATTTTTCTTAAAGCAACATCAGAGGATCAGCTACCACGATTTTCATTGCATACACGTTAACGGCTATGAGATAAGGTTTATGTTTACCGAGGAAGTAATGCTTTCCAAAGACGAGTGTTGGGAAAATATGTTCCAAAAATCAATTTTCCTTCGAAAAATATTCATTCTAAAATTAATTTCCGCATAGTACTTTCAAAAGAAGATTTATCAATAAAATTATATTTATATTGATAAAATTTGCAATTATATTGAATTTATTATTGTTACGTCCGCGGCGGTCACTGACGCTCTCACTTAACGCGCGTTCCGCGAGGAAGCCGCGCTCGGCAATAAACAACGCCGTTCAATAAAATATGGAGGCTTTATTCAAATTAATCAACAATTTTGCGGACACACGTCACGATATATACGCCACGAGTCATAGTTTTTCGTAAACAACATCACCCCGGAGAGCGCTTCGCTTCTACTCCAAACGGCGGTTCGACTCCACTCGGCCGCAGAAGACTCGCGGGTATAACATTATTTTATAATAAATATATCCCTTTATTTTATAATAAACTAGACATTACAAACGCGCGCTATGTATACATTATTTTTTTAAAAATAGAAAAAGCAAAAATTATATAATATTGTTACTATACTAAGAAGATATCGATAATATCGACCGCAATATCGACCGACGATCTATCCGATAGATGGCGACGCATACGGTTTCACGGCGACGGCACGTCGGCGTATTTCAAAGAGCTTGTCCTACACGTGTTTTCATACTTTTTTGTCCCCTCAAAAAAGTGTGAACATTAGAAAAAATTGCGAGGGGAGTTTTTTTTATAATTTTTTCATAAGGCGCACCTGCGGATATTTAAACGGCTGTAACTTCTTCAAAAATAGACGTAGAGACATGGGACAAAGACCAATCTTTTTCATTTTGCGTTCCGCAAATGTTTATGTTAAATACATATATTCTTATCATGAGACGTAACATGTGTATATTTAAAATGTCCGAATATGCTAGAATAAAATATAAAATATTTCGTAAATTATTGATTTTTTGACATTTGTATCTTAATACTTTTTTAATGCATTGTTTAAGAGGTATTAAAATTATTTAAAATGGGATACACATATATTTATAGTGAAAAATAAGAAAAAATTAATAATAAATTGTAATATAAGGAAAAATCATTAATAAAAAAATATTAAAATCTATGCAAGAAAATATGCATAAGAAATGTAATAAAATGACGCCACTTATATAATTATAATATTATAACTTATTTATACTTATTATAACTTATTATAACTTATTTATAACTTATTTATACTTACGATCGTATATTACGTAATTGACTACAATTATATTACTGAAACTCTAAATAATTACTTTTTTATTTTTTAACTAATTGTTTAGTGTTCACAATTGTGGTTTTTCTCAATTTTCTTAAATATTCTCTTTATTTATGTTTATTCTTATTGCTTATATTTCTTGGTATTGTTTTATTTTTTAATTAATTTTTTTTCATTCCTTTAAGCGTGCTGAGCGTGTTACTTATCTTTTATTTCATCTTTTATCTTTTGTTTATCAGCATCACGGAAAAGCATTAACAATAAACTTCAAGAATTTCGAGAGATGCGAGTATCCATTTAACATTATTTAGAAGGGATAATTAAAATGTATAATATATACTTATGAAAAAATCCGCTTATTTTTAAATATTATTTGAAATGAGAATTAATAAGAAATGTGCTGAGTTTGTTAAATCGCGTAATGATCTATATCTTTTATAGAACTTGTTAATTGTGGAAGAGGATCAAGATACTTTATTCAACCAGAAGTTAATTTCGTGTGTCTACAAAGAGTAGGATAATTTCTGGGATCGAGACCAGCATGCCAACGTGGCCATTTCGCGAAAACTTTTCTTTGCTCCAGTTAGCACCTTTTTCATATTCATTTCGGCTTATTTAATTGAGGAGAATCGCGTCTGTCCCTGTTTGTCCGACACCGGCGAGATTCATGACGTTAAGCGCCTCCCAACTGCGCTGAAAAATGAAGAATCTAGCCCGGTGTCCCGACCTACATTTAGCCTCATTTGTTACAAACGTCTAACGACTTTATCGGAAGTCGAACAAGTCTCTAGAATTTCAAGATAATCGGAAGTTACGAACTTATTTCTCAATTGAATGCACAGAAAAGCTGCAATATTGATATTTCCAAGTTATTATAACAAATTCAAGAATTTCAACATCTGTGGGTAGAAAATACAACTTGATGACGTTTATATTTCGTATTTATCATTATCCGTCATATTCTATCAATATTTTTCTAGCGAAACAATTTTTGAAGTTCTTATTTTCGTATTATAATAGAAAATGATATCAATTAAATTTCTGGATGTAATAATATTGAAAGTTTTGCCTTTACCTTAATGAAACCTTATTGAAAACCTTAATGAAACGTTATTAGAAGAACTGGCATTGAATTATAATACTATCATGAAAAGATTGAACTTAGGTTTGTCAAAATTTCTTGCTAAACAAAATTAAAATGGAAATTGTATATTAAATTCTTTTTGTAGATAATATACAGTTATAAGCAAAGGATGGATGTTTAAAAATAAATATAATCTTATAACGACTTAATTTAGATAAAGATATGATATCTGCGACGAGTCCTATGGGACATGACTTTTGCAATCTATCTATTTAACTGGCCAGCTTCGGAATGCCTAGTGACCGAGCACGTATTTATAATTTAACTCGCTAGTTTAGAAACTTTAAATTATGTCGGCCGACGTGCGGATCAGTTACACTGGTCGCTCGCGGCTACGCGAATAATGAGAATTTCAATATTCATATCTAGCCTTAAGGCTGCTATAATGCCCGGACCCTTGACGAATCTACATAAGATAAAAATTTCATTTAAGGAAAGCATTAGCTGATAAGTTGTTTGCAAAACGTATTCCGTCCTACTAAAGTGGAAATTCCTCACAATTACGCCGTAGTTGATTTTGAAATTTCATTATGCTCCATTTACGAATTACGCGGAAACTTGTAATATTTAACAT